ACAGTGAACTGAAAACTCTACAAAGCAGGCAGAAATTAGAGAAATAGCAAGGCCAGCTTCCAAGATTTCTTTCCTGTAATTCATCAAAATGGATGCTGTCCTTGTCTCTCAGGAGTTGAATTTGCATTTATTTGTATATGGGGTCATTCTTGGCAAGTGCAATAGAGAACTCCTTATCCTGATTGTTCCAGGAGCTTTACTTTAAAACAAGTGCTGAACCTCTTAGCAATCATTAAGTATTCAGAGTGGGAATGAGAAGGGAAGGAAACATAAGACCTGTTCTCAATCCTCCATAGAGGGAAGAAGCAATATTGTCCTAGCAGAGCCCTCTTTTAAAATTTAAACTCTGCTCACCCTTGATGTTTTGATATTTCTCCAGGGGAGAAGTATATCAGTGAAATTGTATTAAAAGTGGCTGATTATGAACATGGCATCTTCAGAGCAAGATTCATTATAAACCTTCCATACTTCACGAGTATTTTGTATGTGGCCTTTTAATCTGTTTCCCAATTTTGAATAGCTTGTACAGTAACAAACTAAGAGAAAATGCTTTCTTCGTGGACAAGTAAGGCAGAAGAATTCTTGCCAAGAACACATCGCATTCAAAGCATTAGTACAGATTTGAATTTTGTTTAGAACTAAGTGAAGTAATTGAATGGGTTTGTCACTCCTTTTAACCTCTCCTTTCATAGTCTCTCACCAAACCTAGATATCCTAAAATACTGTTTATAATTCATTTATTTTTGTTTTAAATATTCTCTTCCACCCACACCACTCATTAACGGAAGTGCCAACTTGAAGAGTCAGCTAATTCTGCATAATGATGAATCTAATTAGTAATATTTAAATAGCAAAAAAATGCTCTTCAGTGTTTCATTTGATCGGTGATCCATGTTTCTGCTCTTTTGGATTGTCACTCCTAGATCTGATTTGATAGAAGCATATACAAAACACAGTATTTTATGAAGTTGTATTAATATTTCTCTGAAAGACAATGTTTTGTCCAAGTGAGAAGAAAATATATTTCTACTACTACCTAATGAAACTTTGTAAGCTAAATTTTAATATGACAATAGGAAATAATTACTAAATGCATAATTGGAGATAATGTAGTTTAAATTAGCTGGGGCCTTCTTTCAAGCCGGCACAGCTGGGGCCTTCTTTCACACGCCTGCCTCAAAAAGACCCCTTCTGACCAAGTCCTTCTTTCACACAGGCGCAGCTGGGGTCTTCTTTTATGCGCCTGCTTCCAAAACCTTGCAAGATGGCTGTGTGCAATTTAGACACAGCCAAGTGTGATTTGGACAAGAGGCAGGTGTGCCCTCAGGAAGAAGGCCTAGTGTGGCCAGCAGCTGCTTTGCAAAGGGCCAGGCTGGGCGTGCCTCAGCAGCAGCAGCAGGAAAAAGACAGTGAAGGGCAGTGGAGGGCAACAGTGCTGGCAGGGCCAGCAAATGCAGCGCGGCAAGAGTGGCAGAGGCCGTGGAGTGCAAATCAGCCAAAAGGACAGAGATGGAAGGGGAAGATAGGTGGGTGGGAGGAATTGAATAGGAGGCAGTCCCTTACCTTACCAAAGCTCAGGGCTGGGAAGGACCAAGCCGAGAATGGCTTGGCTTGGGGTGGGTCCTTGGCTAATGACAGGTGGGATTAGGTTAATAACAACAACTAGGATTGCTGTCGCTAAGCGATGTGGTCATGTGATGTGCTTTACAACCGCATTGCTTAGCAGTGGAAATTCCGGTCCCAATTACAGTGTAACTTGAGGACTACCTGTATTTACTCCCATCTCTGCTGTGAAAACTTATTGGATGGCTTTGGGGTAATCGTTATCATCAGCCTAATACAGTTTACAGGTTTATTTTTATGAAGGAAAAGAGGAGGAAGAATGCTGTGCACACTACTTTAAATTATTGTAGGAAAGGCAAAACATAAATCTAATGAACAAATAATGAGCAAGTACTGATATATACAATGAGAGTAAATGGCTACATTTTAAACAAAGTATGCTCACTGAAATAAGAGATCATTCTTAAGCTTCTGGTTTATCTTTCCCTCTGCTTTCTTCTTTTTAACTTTTGTTATTTGATTGCATTGTTGTATATTATTTTCAGTTAGCACCCTGTGAGGTAAAGTAGTTTTAGAGACCACAAATAAGAATAGGCCCATTACATTTTTTAAAAAAGTTTCTGAAAGGGTTCTCACTTCAGCTTTTGATGACAGCTTTTCTAGTATCAAAAAAGTGACATCCAAAGGATCCCATTGAAGGGCATGGTCAGACTGGAGGCTTCGTAGTTATCCTGTATCCCTAATGTGAGGGGAAATTTAGACATGGCATTGGTGTAAATTCTTTCTCTCCTGTCGTTCACATGAGAATGAAATAGAATCCATTCATATAACACTGGCAGACAAGAAAATGAATAAACTGTGCCCATCCCACATTTCCATGTGCCACTATGAGCCAAGCAGGATATTGAGTTTGTCATAGATGTCTGATGGTGGAGAATTCTAACTAGGCAATAAGGTTACCTGTAAGTGAACATTTCAGAATTCCTTGACACTCCCCAAGAGATCATGGTGAAATCCAGTGCCAGCAAATAGAACATGAATTTATTTAAATTAAGTTGGGAAGTTATCCAAAAATGTTTGTTTTCTCAGTACAAAGATTGGGTGAGCTTTCACACGTTTGCAGTATAGATGGCATTCCCTTTTTATAATTTGGGTTGTAAAAAAATAAAGCAAAAGCTTTGGATCTGTTGAAAAATGATTTGAATAACATTTTTCAGACAACAGGATGCCCAAATGCTTGAAACTGCTTATAAAGTTTAAGTGTTCTTTCCTGTTAAAGTAATCTTGAATATGTTCCTGTGATGAATACAGAATTTTGGGGGAAATTTCTCTCATATTTAAGTACAGGTAGTCCTCAACTTACAAACATTCGGCAATCATTCGAAGTTACAACAGCACTGAACGAAAGCTGGTTATGACTGGTCCTTGGAGTTCTGGCCATCCCAGTACCCCCACAGTCACATGATTGCAATCTGACCACTTGGCACCTAGCTCACACTTAGACTGGTTGCAGCACCCTGCAATCATTTGTGACCTTCCCTGCAGGTTTCCCCAGAAAGTCAAAGCCTTGCTGCACTCGTGTCCACAGCTCCAGCCACCTGCACATGTCCTCCCCCACCTGGCAGCAGCCACTTACCTGCCTATTGGCCTGCTTGCAAGCCACTTGGGACTTGCAACTTTCTGCCAGCTTCCCCACTGACTTTGGTTGTGGGAAACCAGCAGGAAGTTGCAAGGAGGTCCTCACCTAATGACTGCTGCAATTCAGTTAATGACAGCAGTTGGGACTGCAGGGATTGTCATTGCTAAGTGATGCGGTCACATCTTATGACTGCATTGCTTAGCAACAGAAATTCTGATCCCAATTGCCGTCATAACTTGAGGACTACCTGTATAGCATGCAGGTGGAGGAACCATCAGGCTCTTTCATGAAGGTCTTATTCTGACCATGATGCCATCCTGTCCTTTCTCCTTGTGCATCTGTCGTGGCATTTTTTTTCACATCACAGTTAGTTTGCCATTATTTTTGGCCCTCTGATTCCCTTTCCAATTCCTCCAAACCCTTCAGATTTGTTCTAAATCCAGTCTGTCACATCTACTAAAAATACTGATGAAGACCATACAGGGCCCTTCTGGTGATGAAAGGACAGTTGGGTGGGTAATAATTTGATTCTGGTTCTATTATTGACATAAAGGTGGTATTTGTTCTAGTCTATTCATATTGGATCAATAGTAAAAGTGAAGTAAAGTTATTGAACAAAGGATGACTCTGATTGGTACAAATAAGAGAGAGTAGTGTTAATTTCAGATTATTCTTTTGTAAAATCATATGACCTTGTGTTCTTGTGTCTTCTATCTTGAAATCTAATAAATTTGCTCCTTTAACCGATCTTTTGGCATTTTTAGTACCAAAGAGTAGCTAAAAGCTTATTAACTGTCTTTTTAAATGAACGTGTCAGTGTCTCTTTTTTTAAGCTTCATTTCCCATCAGCACTGATAAAGAACAGAAAAGGAAGTTTAAAACCTGCCCTTTATAACAGTACTTAATGATTAGATTACAATGGAGAGGCTTAAGTGTCCCTTCCCCAATCTTTAACTCCTCCCTCCAGAAGCTTCAGCTTAAATATTGGTGGGAAAAAGGATGAATACAATGTTAATCCTGTTACTGTTTCATTTTTACTGGATGCTGACCTTCCATCATCATGTCTCAAAAAGGCAGTGATGGGAAGATTGAGTATGCATTTACTGGCAGTTAAGTGACTGTTTGCAGGAAGCAAGTGAGCAAACATCATGATCATCTCCTACTTAGTTTATGCTTTTTTGTGCAAGTTATTATGATCCAATCTGTGTCCATTCCTTTCTCACCAAATTAGAGAGTGTACAGCTGAATATAAACAGAACTGCTTCAACTAATATGTTGCCCTGGTTACCAGTCCTGACCAATACTGCCTTGCCGCACATGCTGATGCAAGACGATCGCAGCCAACTTGGTGTAGTAAACTTGGGAAGAGAATATTTGTCAGAGTGTTTTGACTTTGCTCATGCAATAAAGAGTTTAGCTTTCATCTTGGATCCATTTTCATATAAGAACCATTGGAAATCGCTGTCAATAGCACTAAAACTAGGCCACAGAAATTAACTCTCTTGATGATCCAACTAGCTAGGCTTTGCTGAAAGCAACATTACAAAGTTCACCTCATCTGCCCAAATATGTTCAAGTAAGCTGTGTACAATAATCAGTTCAGATTACCAAGTAGATTTCCAGTGCTGATGAGAATCATAGGATATCAATTAAATGTTTTTGAGAACTGTATGATTAACTAGACGGTTTGAATAATGTAATACGGCTATGCAATGACTTAATTTAGTTTAATTGTATCCATTCCCGACATGGAAAACTTAATATATATATATATTTTTTTACTCTTAATCTGTTTCAGTAATAGTTATGCCCGTGTGCGAGCTGTGGTGATGACCCGTGATGACTCAAGTGGTGGATGGTTACCGCTTGCAGGGGGTGGACTGAGCTGCGTCACGATTTTCAAAGTCATTCAACAAGAAGAAAGTGGCTGTGCTGATTTTCTTGTACATGGGGAGCGTCTCAGGGATAAAACGGTAAAAATAATTATGTCTGTTTTGTGCCATTAATTGTAAGTCAAAAGGGAAGTAACTCCCTAAGTAACAGTTAATTTAAGTTTTGGAACATCCTGTCATTTCTAGGTGTGTGTATGTTCCTCCACTGTTTTCTCTCTCTTCACATGAACAGTATATGTATATATATGCACACACACAGACATGCGTATGTACACACTCATATGTACATCTAAAGACATTCTGTTAAATGGTTTTAAATTTCAAAATACATATAATTTTCTTTATAGTTTGATCATTTAGGAAGTATCATTGGATTGCATTAAAGGCAATTAATTGGAAAATCCATTAAAATATGCATATTTCTTGCATTTGAGACACCTAACAATGTTTTAAAGTGACTTGTAATGACTCTCACAATAAAACTATAAAGAATATCATGAAATTGCAAAATTGGAAACAGATGAGTAGTACTGTTAAATTTATTGCAGTCAGTGTTAAAGTGTTAAGCCAGTGTTCCCCATGCTGGGTGGGGAATTCTGGGAGGTGAAGTCCACACATCTTAAAGTTGCCAGGTTAGAAAAAATCTGTATTACACGAATCCATTTCAGGATAAGCAACATTATACAAACTATAGAAAAAGTGTAAGAAGTAGTAGGCAAATAAATTAGAAGCAGGAGCTAAAATAAGATAAAATCTAACTAAATCTAGTGCACATTGCATTATTCACTGAACCTCTACATACTTTTCTGTTTTTGCTTCATGCATCAATTCATACATTGCCTTTTGTTCTTTGCATTTCACACCTCTCTCTTTTTGAGGATCTTACCAATTTCCTCTTTCTCTTCACTTTTCCTTCATATATTGATCTTGTAGCATGTTTCATACTCCCTGTATGACCAGAACATCTCAGTTTCCTTCTTTCATACTAGTCACTTCTGTATTCAATCCATATTCATTCAAACCCTATTCATTCTTGACCTTATCTCTTATTTTGCCATACATATCACTTTTTCAGTTCATAAGTGAATTCCACTTCAATTCACTATTCTGTTTTTCCTGACATATCCAGTCCTCGCTTGAATGGAATACAACGGTCAGAATTGTGCATTTACACATGGAGATTTTTAATTCTTTCAGTAAATGTTCGTTCCTCATAATACACCAGGTAATAGCCATTACTTTTTTACCAGCATTTGCACATCTTACAAACATTTTTCCATCTTTAGAAAACATTCTACCAAAGTATACAAATTTTTCTATTTGTTCTGTTTTTATGCCATTTATACTTAACTTGCAATTATTTACTCCATTTTCCATGTCAAATACAACTACCTTGGTTTTTTATTCATTAATGCTGAAATCCATTATCCTCATTCTTACAGTATACTGTATCTAACATCACTGCAAATCATTTGGGTTCTTAGCCAACATTATTGCATCATTTGGATGCATTTTCATGTCCTTGACTAACATGCTTCTAAAATTATTGCAAGCATTCCATATATGTTTATCAATAAATGCATTAACAAAGAAAGGAATATCACACATCCTTACTTATCCTTCTCAGTGTTGAATCATTTCTTTATTTCCATGCATGCTTTACTACCATCATATACCACTCTTATTACATCTAGCAACCAACATTAAATTCCATAATTGTACAAAATGTTCTGAAATACATTTATAAACTTTATTATACACTTTCTTTAAATTAAAAATGTACAATAAACTTTCTTGCTTTCATATATTGCTCAGTGACTTGCTGAAGGGCAAAAGCTGCTCTGCATATGCTTTGTTTCTCATCATAATGTCCTGTTAGCTGCCCAGTGTCACTCTGGCAGGTGGACAGCTGTATAAATCGGTTAAATAAATCAATAATAATGTTGCACTGTACTTCACAATTTTCACTCATTGTCATATCTCCTACCATTGAAGACTTCTTCATCCTTTTTTTCTTAGGTATTAACAATATTAATAGTGTTCTTTTAGATTCCAATTTTCAACTTATCACTGTCATTCCCATATAGAATCTCTGAAGGACTCCTTCCAGCATTCCCTTACTTCAGCTTTATCCCAAATTATTTCATTATTTAGCAGTTCATAGGAGATCTAACAGGTGTGTCACATGTGTAACAAAAGCTAAGTTTTATCTAAATCATGCTCATGCTATTCTGTGCAGGCTAGGCTCTGTAATCTAAAAACTATTTTGCAAGTGAAGTTACTGTTGCCATCAACTTACAACTAGGAGGTAGATGATGTGTGCTGACACACTCAGGATGTATTACTATACAAAGTTGGGGGGGGGTTGTTTGTTTTTTTATTGAACAAGCAAAACATCAAGACAAAAAAAAAAGTAAGATAAGCCAAGAGCAAAAATAGGTATTCAAAAAGGAAAGAAAATAATAGAATATACGTATGCACAGTAATATATATAGATTATGCTCTCAAAATTGAATTTTAAAAAGTTGAGATAACTTAATCTTCACTCTTAAGAATGTAGATTGTGGGAAAATGCAACAACAACAACAAAAATTTTTTTGGTGAAAACAGACTTTGTGCCAGAAAAATGAAATGATAAATTGCAGGAAATCAGCAGACTAAATGGGTTATTAGTTGCTTCTTTGGTGTAGAATTGTTCATTAGTATAATTCAGATAACCATTTCTTGCATATTATCATGCTTATAGGTGCAGCTGGATATAACTATTCATTGAATTGCTGATAAATCAAGAGCTCTTTAAACATTGCTCTAGTTTGATGAAAGCTGTATTTACATGAGACTAGGGTTACAACTCAGCCAGAAGGGCAGGGACCAAGACTTGGGATTGGTATTTGGAAAATCCCTGGATAGATTACTTTCTTTAAATGTTACCTATAACCATGCAAAATGAACTCAGAAAAAGGCAGTTCCCACATAACTGGGAAACCATCAGCCTGTTGCATAGTAATCCAAGTAATATCTGCCCAAAGTGCCTATTTTGCCATGTAAATTAAATGTAGAGCGATCTTGTGAAACTGCCTGCTTTATTCATACTCTCAACAGAGCAGGTGCTAAATAATATAGCCTTTGAATGTATAAAGATTTAGTCATAATCATTAATATTAAATATCTGTTCATTTGCTATTTAAATGAATGTCTTCCGATTCTTACCAGCCTACATGTGGTAAGGTGTAGTGTATAGTGAATGGTGTTGCAAACTAGATTTGGGTCCTTTTGTTATACATCCAGCCTTTAATTTCTTTTTCTGATTAATTCTAACTCTTTTTCTGCCCTTTTGTAGCAACCATCAGCCAGGGAGGGATGGCTAGGCTTCTTAGGTTCTTTTGCCAAAATCGCCACTGGTCAAGGGGCATCCTGGTTAAATCTACTAGCAGGTTCATTAGTTTGATAGTTAGGCTGCTACCACCTATCCAAATGGAAACAACTGGCCGAGCCCCAAGCCTGTTCTCCTTACTAACATATTAAGCTTACACAACAACTGGGGAATAACTCTTCTTTCCCACATGAAATATAGGAAGAATCAGAATAACTATTGAAGTAATTAATTCTGTGAACAAGAATGATAATTATAAAGCAAGATTCAAAGAAGATGTAGAGTTGCAAAACACACAAATACAACCAAATAAAAAGTACACATAGAAGCTAACACAAATATCTGTTTAGCTGGCTGGGCAATTCTGGGAGTTGAAGTCCACCCATCTTAAAGTGGCCAAGATTGAGATAGACTGTAACATACTGTGAAATCTAGACAAATGTTTCTGAACCCTGGGCACCCTCAGCATCAGGAGCTGCACACTCAAATATAAAATACTAGATAAAACATTAAAGCCACAAAATGCAGTTAAAGCCAAAAAGGAACTGCTTTTTCCAGAAAGAAGGAAAAACTGGACTCCTACAAGATCACATGGCTCTGATCTTGTTCCATCGCTACCCTTACAGTTTTGCATAATGTTGCCACCAGCAAAAAGGAGGAGTGTGGTTAATAATAATTTATATTTGAATATCCTCAAAAGTGTCATCTCAGAACCGGAAGCAAATTGTTCAAGATAAAGTTGTATTTTGGTAAAGTTTAGCATGGGAGTAGTGGCATAATTGCTTGGAATAAGCTAAATCATGTTGAAAGAGACCATTAGTATGGGCGGGAGAGAAAGTTTCAGCATATTGTCCAATTCTGTAGGGTAGTATGATCCTGCGTTTATATGCATACACACGAAACCTTGAAACTGATGAATTTGCCTATTCTCCTTCCTCTTTTCATCTTCTGTCTTAAATTTTGCCATCTTGTACCCCTGGCTATCCGACTGAGCAATGCCTTTAGTATTGTTGCTCCAATATAGTCAACAAATGGCATTGCTGCTGCCATCTTTTACTGGCCTAGGTAGCAGCATTGACCTTTTTACTACCTGAAGAAACGAGGAAATCTGGATTCCAAATATTTGGCTTCCTTTTCTCTGGAAACACGTTATTGTAGCTGCCAAGTCAGAAAACAGAGATAAGAAGAGAAGCTGCTACCAGGGATAAAACCATAAGAGAATGAAGGAAGAGAAGACTTGGCAGAGTGATTTGCTTGCTTTCAGGGAGGAAGATGTGTTTGCTACCAGTTCTGTACTTAGAGTGAGCGTGCACCCAGGCAAGCAAGGGGCATATGCTATCCCCTAATGATATCACCACTGTTGGCTAGCTGTGGAGGAAGGAAACAAGTCACTACCTGTGATACTCCTATGTAAGATGTGGTCTTACCCATCATTGAACGTGTACAAATAGAGAAGAGTGCAGCAACAATGATTCTCCTAATTGCAGATATATGCCATGTATGTTTGGGATGGAGTCAAAGGTTCTGAGCAGCTAGCATATACTTTTTACGATTTCTCACCATTTTTAGTAAGTGCAACTTTTTTAAAAAATGAAATATTAGGGTGCATCATTGTAAGAAATATTCTGTAAAAGTTGCTATTGGAACAATCTTCTGAATTAACATTAAGGTGGCAAATAGTCTTGCTGCCAGTAAGGTCACTGTCTTGTCATTGCTCTATTCCTTTTGCAGTGTGTTTTTATGCACGTATGTAGAGAATCATATGATAATATGCAGTTGAAACTGTGTGTCAGAGGAAATTCTGACTAGCACTGAGATTCAGAGCCAGTGAGAGAAGGAAGAGATGGTGCAAAGATTGAGCAGGCCAGCTGGAGGGATGTAATATTTGTTAGTTTTTTTTTGAACTGTCATAAACCGCTCATTATAGGTCAGGCCTAAAAACTCATCAGGTAGCCCTGCCTTTGCTCTTCTCAGGAGTTGTCCTGTCATTCAGTGTGGATACTTTATTTTAGAGCTGCTTTTATCCTACTCTTCAGCTCTGAAAAGCCTCTTTGATCGGTTGACTCAGCCTCTTCCAGCCTGGGGCCTTCCGGATAGGTCTCAGAATTCTTGGCCATCCTGGTCATTAGGTTCATTGGGTTTAATTTAAGATACTCAAAATCATGAGTTAGTTGCCTGCGGTGGTAAAGTGGAATTAATTTAAAAGGAACGCATCAGGGAGGGATTACTTTACTTGGTTCCTGAACCTTTAAAACTTGCTTGGCATTACATTGAACATTTTCTAGCTGTAATACATTCCCAAACATTAGGAATAGAGCTTAATTTGAAACAAAACCATAGTATGTGCCTTTGACCTATACTTGTTATCTGTCTGTCTATCTGGGTGGGGTAGCAAGACAGAGAGGTTTCATTCAGAAAAGCAATGAATTGGAATTTAGGTAGGGGAAGAAAATTTAATTCTGCCATTCTCAGCCATCCTGCCCACAACTAGGAATTCTGTGGGTGTGACCCCATCACAACTGGAAAGTACAAGATTAGAGAGGTCTTATGTAAGTAAAATCCTTGAGTTACTTTGTTTTAGTTGAGGATACTTGTGGCAAAATACTAGGTGTACTTTCATGAATGAGAATACTTGCTTGACGTGTTTTTGACAAACAGTCCGTCCGGTATCTTGAAAAGCGATAGCCCTGAGGAAATGGGCTTCACTTTGGAATGACAGAGACTATTTCTGGACTTGTTTACCCAGCTTGTTTAGACCTCTGCTGGAATGTAAAGCAGTTTTTTTCTCTCTTTCTTCACAAAGCACCCTTGACATAATTGCACACTTCCTCCTTCATTATACTTCCCTTCGGAGATCTGGCTCCAGCCAGTCTAGTTTGAACAATTACCTTCCACTCTAACCTGGACAGGTCTGCTGCTGTTTTAAGCTATGTAAACATAGCTGGATAGTTCCTTTTATATGAAGCGTTAAGCAGGCTCGCAAGCTTCAGTATTTTAGATTTTCAAATGCTATTGCTTTAAAGTGATACTTACTTTGCTTTCCAATTTTATAATGACACTTTGTTGCAGGTTGCATATCTTATTCTCTGTTACCTTTGTTTAATCAATGTAGGGCAATATATTCAGACAATGAAAAAGGCTTTTGAAAACTTGTACCATTAGGACTTCCAGAATAGGAATTTGAGAAGTAATGGGAATTGGACCGACCAGTTTTTTGTATTTCATTGCTTGGTATTATACTTCTTCCATAATTTATTGCTAAATGGCTATGGAAACTTAGCACAATAATTTTTAGCAAGGAAAAAGGGAGACAGAATAGAGAAATACAGTGACGTTCACTGGTAACCTTGGGCCCATTTTTTCTTGCCTTAACCTACCTCATTGATTAGCGTTGACAAAAATCCTTATAAGCCTCCTTGAAAGGTAGGTTATCAATGAATGAAATTGAAAGTTGGATACATTAATTGAGGAAAGGGCAGATCATGTGTCATGGAAAAACTATCGTATTTTTTTCTGTAATTGCTAATCCTGGATGCTATCTACACATTTTGAGGTTTTGTTTTTTTTTTAATCTAGAATTGAAGAAAACCTAACAGCATTCTAAACTCTGTAGAAAGAAGAGCAGTTTGGGGGCAGAGCAGTGTGAAACAAAAGGAGTTGGTGGGAATTGAGTGTGGCTGAGCAATGGTTTAGATTTGATTCTAAAAAGGGGCTTCATTGTGTGCAAGGGCATAAATATAACTTCTGTCTGAAGCTCTTTAAAGCAACTGCATCTTGTCCTGGGATTATATGGCAGCTGCATAATTTAAAAAAAAAAAAAACCCTTTAGTTTGCATAGATACAGAAAAGGAATTAGTGAGAATGGAAAACCTGGATTTGTTTAAATGAATATAATAAACGCAGATACTGATTTTTATGAAATTACTAGCTAATCAAGAATTTGCTTCCAGTAATGACAAACAAGTTGTGTATTTAGAACTGGTAGGCCTGTTTATTTATGCTATTTCTATTCTTCTTTTCATTCAGGAGCTCAGTGCAACATACACAGCATTCCCTTCTCCTATATTTCCACAGTGACTGGCCCAAATCCACCAAGTGGTCTTCTGTTGCAGAGGGTAGACTAGAACCTGGGTCTTTCTGTTCCTAGTTCTTAACCACTACAACACACTTGTTCTTAGTTACTGATATCCTAATCACATCCAGATTAGATGGGCTGTGCATGGAATTACTTTTGAAGATGGATTCATTCATTCATTCATTCATTCTAGGCACCACCTGACTCCAGACTGACTCTGGGCGTCTCACAGTACAAGACAATATAAAAATAACATTCTACATAAAATAGTAAACAAATGGCAAATCCAGTCAGTACTTAAAACAGTTATCATACCCCCGGCAGTGGCTCCCAGCCACCTTAGCCAAAAGCCTAGGAGAAGAGGTCTTTAAGGATCTCCAGAACACCATCAAGGTGGGAATCACCCACCTTTCAGGAGGAACCTCATTCCAAAGAGCGGGTGCCATTACAGAAAAGCAAGCTTCTTGGGTCCTGAAAGATGACACTGTTTAATCAAAGGAACGCAGGGCAGGCACCATTGGAGAGAGCCAACCCCTCAAACAACCAGGCCCTGTGCCATTTAGGGCTTTATATGTCATAATCTGTACCTTTAAATGCAGAATCAAACTGGCAGCCAGTGCAGCTTGCAAAGCAGGGATGTCGCATGGGCATATCAAGCAATCCATTCCAATACTGTATCAGCTGTCACTTTCAAATCCAATTTATTTATTTATTTTTTAACCTGAATGGTCCAGAATCAGTTCATTTTATAACTCTTGCACTCCTGTTGAAATATTGTTCCTACAGCTGAACCTAAGAACAGGACTATTTTAGCTAAACTTGCTGGCAGGGACCAAAAACCAGGGATGCCTTGATGATGGTTCCCATTCATACAACTCCCTCTTTCTTTGTGTAGACATTTCTGTTTCTGTTTTTGATTTCACATTGATTTAATTTTGGGATATATGGGATAGGTTATTAAATTGATGGGATGTTTTTATGCTACTCTTAGTTTTTAGAGTTTTGTGAATAAATTTACATTGTTTATTTTAGTAATTAGGTCTTTTATGCTATGACTTGTTTGCATTTTTTAATGTGAACAGCTTTGATAGAACAATTCAGTTCTAAAACTGGAAAATATCTCTTAAATACACACAACCATGTGCACATGCACACACATACACAAAGAGCGAGAGAGAGAGAGAAACCTCTTGTAGTAACTTCCTCTTTTAACTTGGCTTCTTTTCAGGTGGTTTTGGAGTGTACGTTAAAGAAAGGGCTTATTTACAATAAGGTTACGCCAACTTTTCACCACTGGAAGATTGATGACAAAAAATTTGGCCTCACATTTCAAAGTCCTGCCGATGCAAGAGCATTTGATAGAGGAATTCGTAGGGCTGTAGAGGATATATCTCAAGGTATGAATCTCAGTTATTCAGGGATTTTTTTGGTTAAAAAAATGTTATTTATTTTGAACCTAATTAGTATCAATGCAATTGTGCACCTCCCCCTTTTTTTTTTATTGGGGGGTAGTTGCTCATTTCATTTGCTCTCACTATCCCATTTATAGCCAGTTTTTAAAAAGTGGAAGTCAAAAGCATCTCATATATACACACATACATACATGCACGCGCACACATGCAAATGGAAAATGCTGGTTTAAGTCTTCAAGGAAAGAGAGAGCAGCATGCAGCTGCTATAAGCACCATATAAGATAAGTGAGCAGAGTTTCCAATAGGATAGAAAGAATGAAGCTATTTGCAGCTCCCCATAGTAATTCCTACTGGGCCAGGAAAGTGGCAAATTCAATAATTACATTAGTATGTTTAAAGGTAACAGAGTCCAGATCTTCATTGAAAAAAACAACAACTTTACAACTTTCAGAGCTTTCAAAGCTTTGCTTCTCTGAAAAAAGTACTTCACTCTCACTGGGCCATTTCTGCAAAATGGATCCATGCCCATACTCCTTAACAGAGCCAATTTGTAAATGGGCACATACCATGGCATCTGGTGAGTTTTGGTCCTTGTTTCAAACTGTATAATGTGCACAGTATCCCCTGGCCCCAAGTGGGACTCCTGGGTATAGAGCAATTGCCATTCAAAATCAGTGTATTAAAATAGATCTATTCCTGTTTTCTAGCAGGAAAGGGATGTAGAAACAAAATATGCCACTGTCTAAAGTGTTTCTTCACATACTGTGTTTTATTATATCCTGTATTATGATGATATAAATATTGTTTCTTATAAAATCATTGTGCTATGCTTGCTGAGAACACAAATAAAAACAAGTTAAAATTTTATGTTTGTCTCTTTCTCCCACAGGTTGTCTAACCTCACATGATGAAATCGAAGTGCCTACAGATGGCTTTCCAGTAAGTGTTTTCCAGTCCATTATATTAATTGCATTGGCTGAAATGACAATAACTGTTAATGCTAAAGGAGATACTTACATTCGTTTTTATTCATGGGTGGCTAGTTATGGGACAGTCTTGCCTTGAGACAAGTGTTGGTGGACTTCTGTGATTCTTAGGACTGCAAAACTATTACCTGTCCAGAGGAAAACTTGTAATGAATCAGCATGGTTTGCATTAAGACACATGAGTGACGGGATCTAGAACCTAATTATGAACTTTTCTAATCCCTGAAAAGAAATGATTCATTGGCAGAAAAAGATGCTGAAGCAGTGATAGTAGTAACATATTGCCTTTGGATGTGGGATGATTACAGGATTTAACAAGGCAAGATTGTCAAAAATTGTATTTTCAGTGTTAGGGTTTAGCCCCAAAGTAGCAGTGGTTCTACCTCTAAATGTCTGCTTGGTGCCTTCTCATCAGAGTCGATTGCTTTCAGTCAGGAATATACAGAAACAATAAAAGCTGTGCTCATAATACAATAAAGGTAAGCCCAGTAATAAATCAGTATTCAATCAGTGTTAACACAGTGGTCAGCATGGAGTACATTTCCCAGACTTTAAATGACAGAAGTATATGTTTCATTATCACTTCGCAGAGAAGACTTGCCCAAATATAAACACTCAAGTGGTTCAGTCTAAGCTTCCTAATGTACTTGTTCTGAATATTCAGAAAGCTTTTTAAAATTTCAAGTATACCAATCTCTAATGACACACCTTCATTCTGAAATGGTATTGCCAGTGGTCAAGGTTATCTGGGAAGAGCAGAACCAAATACTAGATGCTGCTTTTTTAAGCTTGCCAGAATTTGATTAAAAATAAGGGATGTTCAGGGATAAGGTTGATGGATTTCATTAAGGAAAACAACTTTTTTCGTCATAAGTTTAACATGGAGTATTAACCAGAAAAATCTGCTCTGAGGAAAGATGATGATGAAGCAGGAACCAGTTCCCAGACTAGAAGGAACCATACAGCTACCTTCCAAAACAATCAAGAGAATATGACTGGGAAACACGGGATTAAAAAGATCTAGAATTTAAACCCTGGAGCAGTGACCCATATAAAGGCTGCAGTGGGCAAATCTTTGTGAATACAGCTTCATTCTTTTCTGCAGTAAAGAAATGAATCAAGCTGAGTTATGTCTGTGAGGCTTCTGTTTAGTAAAGCCATTCCTGAAAAAGGGGTTACATTTCTGAAGAGCTAAGATTTACTGCTGACACCTGCTACCATTGAGGGCTATCTCTTCTTTTTACTCTCATTATATGAACTGAGTGTACATTAGTGTGATAATAGCTTCTAATTTGCAAGGGATCTCCTTATGTTCTTACCATTCTGGACAATGCAAGATTTCTGCAGGATCCTGAACCTCAGAGGATTGCCTGTAACTCTCTTTGTTTTGGCAGTACCTATTTCCTTAATAAGCAAAGGAATCCTTCAGCATGTTTGGAGTTTTGAAAGCATGTTGCATACACCCACACAGAATTGCTTCTGCCATCCCTTTTAAGATTCCTAGAGTGCTAACACATCCACTTACCTTAGCATTTTTTCTAAACAGGTAGGCACACTTCAAAACACTGGGCTGCAGTCACCCACCATTTTTACTATTCAAAGAGTAAACGAGGAATATCTATGGATCTTGTAAACAAAAATGATGCTAGTGCTTTACAGCATATTGATTTCCCATTCTTAGAATAAATTGATTAATTCTGGTAAGGCAGGGAGCCTCACATATGTCAAGAGAGGTTTCCTTGTTAGCTACAGGTACAACATTTCCTTTCCTGAACTAGTTACTCTGGTTTGGAATATATAAGTCATGAGGCAAAGGAGAGCAGACACAACAAAGAAGATCAGCATTTTCTATTAATAAATATTCTGAACTCATTACCTGCTTTCCTATTTGCATATATGCTACCAAGAGAAGAAAACAGTGAATCTTTGATAAAGCTGCCTTCTTCCAAAAAGTAACAAATGACTCTACTAATATTAAGTAAGCAAAAAATTGGCAGCGTTATTAGAACAAAGACAAAGCCAATAACCTAGAGCAAACTTTCATAACAAGTTCAGTAACAAACTGAAACTTATTTCCAAATTTAAAACTTTCCCACTGATAATACTTGGATGAACCAAACATTCCTCTCAAAAAAACTTGCTTGAAAATAGAAATACGGGTTTCAGGCAAATACACAAGCATTTTAAGTCATGTCTTCAAAGTAGTGTGTCCAACATAGTTGATTTTACAGTTCATAGAGTATAACTATAGAGGTGAAGTTATCTGAAAAGGAAAAGAAGTCTACAGTTCTGCAAAAGGCAGTGTCCACACTGTCACCTTTAAGTTTGTTCTAGTTTGAATGTTTAAGCTTGTCTAATGGAATCTGTTCCACAGGTTTCACTTGAATCAAGGGTTTCAGTGTTGGTGCATTCAATGATTTCTCATTAGTTCTACAGTAGACATCTGAATATGGATTACAGTATTGGAATATTCTCAAAGGGTGTGTGCGTGTGCGTGCACATTCATGGTTCGTACATAGATCACATATATTTGCAGTGCAAATCTTTAAGAAGCAATCACATTAACTTCCTGGTGAGATAATTTATGATAGCAGTTTTCATTGCCTTAGATCAAGAGTGCACAGCTAGAGGTCACAACCACTTTGTGCCTTCCAGATATTGTGCTGAAATTAGCAACAAAACGTTGACAGTTATGATTTGCCCCATTTGGGTGGTGGTAGTAAAAATAATGAGAAAAATTGTATTTTAAACCACTGGGAGGCGCTTAAGGCAACAATCACACCTTAACTGCTTCAGAAACTATTGGGTGATTATTTCCTTGGGCGAGGGGAATAAGGGGAAAATGAGAAAGCCTCTTTGAAGCTTAACATTTTAACATCATCCCTTAACTTCTCCCAGTATAAATTGGGCCAAATATTTGGGACCACCCATTTAAATGATATTATACTATCATCATTCATGCTTTCTGCAGCCTTTAGAAGCTAAGAAAGTTGTTCTCCACTGTGTTCTATATTAAGAGAAGTCCAAACTTGGAGATGAAATTGCTTGCCTATGCTTTGAAGAGTACAGCACCCTTATGTCTTCTCTTTGTATCAGTATCTATATGGCAAACTTTTGAGAATCAAGCAGTGTCAGTAGCATAGCATGACTTATCTGTTACCTGAAAATGAACTATTTTGTACCAATATTCAAATAAAATATTCTTCATATTTTGATCAACATATGCAGATACTAAAATGTAGAAAGAAATACAGTACAGCAGTCTTTTGAGAGGACAGTAATTGTTCAAAGAGATTTGGACTGTAATAAAATAATTTATACAGAACAAAACCACAAAGGAGAATAATGTTTAAAATGAACAAGTTGTGTATCAGTATAAACACTTCAAGTCACTAAGTTACAATTATGCTGATAAAGGATTGTACTAAAAAGAAACATTGAGTTGGAAGGAAGCGCTAGTGTAGTTGATCAAGCTTGTTTTAATTTAATAATGTTGAAGTATTTGTTTTAGAAAGGAAGTCTGAGTCTTGAAATAGACAACACTAATTTGGAAGGTATTATGAGTACAGAAGAAGGACCAGGAAGTTACACAGGAAGAGCTGGAGTAATAGAAATGGAATGAAATGAAATCCTGCCAAGTAGAAGGCTATGAACTTGGAATGATAAGAGGCATTTTTGTTTTTGGCTGAGGACTCAGCTGGAAGTAACTAAATAAAGAGCCAGGCATCTTAGTTGATCAGAAAATGACTGAGCTATTGATGTAGCATTGTGTAGCTGGAAAACCAAAATCAGTTTGGATTGATTATTCAGAAATGTCCAGTAGATACAATACAAAGTAGACTACTGTCAAGTAGCCCAATTTGAAATGCTCATATATGGTTGAGGGAAAAAAAGATTAAATTAGAAAAAGGCATTAAGAAAAAATTAATAGGTTTGGGCAGAATTGAGAACCTGTCGTGGGAGCACAGCTTAATAAATTTACCACTTTAGCTTTTGAAAAGCTCATACTATATCAAAGTTATAGTAACACAGTATAATGACAAAATAAAAGCAAAATGGCCACAGATTGACTTACAGTTTAGATTTGAACTCTCCAAAAGATGAATATCTTACCAGTGTGAGATTCATAAATAATTTCCCCAGAGGATTTTTTGAAAACTGCTTGAAATCTAATCAGCCTTGCTCTGCTAACAGAACTATATTCAATAAGCAATGTTCCAGAGGCTTCTGTTAGCTGAATACAGATGGGAATCCTTTCATTTTCCCCTGCCCAGATACTCCTTTCCATCAAAATCTGCTTCATGGAGTTAGGAGATTCTTTAGAGCATGTTTACTTACTTGCTTCCCTAATACTGAACATAAACAAATGCTCTTCAGCATTGTCGGGATAAATTGTAGACTATTTTGTCACATGTTTTGACAACCCTGTTGGATTTTTACCTGCCTTAAACAATATTCAAGCTAACGTCATAGTGTAAAAATGGCTTCCAGTTCACAAAGCCAAACTATCTGGTGGGAGATGAAGGTTTCATTGATTTTATAAGGCCTCTGAAAACTACTTCTGGCAAGTCACTCTTGGAGGGATAGAAGTCTCCCAAGGGAGGGCACTCCTAAAGAAATAATGTTCTAGTAGATAGGATCTTCAGTGTTAATGAAATTAAAAGCAGACCCTCTCTCAGTGATTGGAGAATGTGACTATGTTTCTCTGGAAAAGCATTTCTTTGTTTCTTTATGTTCCATATTTTTCAAGTATCTGCTGCTAACAGCTTTACATATGACACTTGGATCCCAGTTAAAAAACATGTAACTAAAATCTGCTGACTGTTTAAGGGTGGAAAGAGTGCTTCCTACCATTTGAGTTTGCTATCTGAAAGCCCTGACATGGCATTTTTTAAAAGTGTACCAGTATAATGATATTCTGTAGGATTTTACTCGTAAATCATTTTAAATATG